TCGGGTCTCGAGTAATTTAAAATAAAAATGCTTTTTCCAAATGGACCCTATTAGACCCGAATTCATTTAAACCTATCCCGAATGCATAGGCAACTTTCACTTTCGTGTTAAGTGAGGAACACACATAGAAAAGGAGCATAGGCTACGTTTGTAACCTCGCACACAGAAATCATCTTATAGATATGAGATCCATCATGAAAATCCACTCGCTTCATTATGCTGCCTGTTCATATAGGGCTTTAGAAAAGGAGCATAGGCTACGTTTGTAACCTCGCACACAGAAATCATCTTATAGATATGAGATCCATCATGAAAATCCACTCGCTTCATTATGCTGCCTGTTCATATTGGGCTTTTCTTTTTTTGTGTGCAGAAGTCTTTCGCCAGAGATCAGGTTGCAGACAACACTAGCGAATCCATGAATTATTAGGCAATCAATTAATTTTTTATCAAACTGTCACGTTTATTTTTCAAATCCACTGGTCACAATTGAAAGCCGAGCTCAGAAATAACTTGTATGAGATACATATCTGAGGAAAAATGCATTGTTAGTCGGCGCCACCTAGCGTACAGGCGTGAATTAGCAGAAGGCGAACAATCGTTTTGCACTCAGTGTGAAAGCAACGTTTGTTGGCGATTTGCTTCGCTTTTTCGCATGGCGCTCAGTGTGAAAACGGCCTTTAGGGTTAGGGTTTAAAATCGGCGGGAATGTTCGGCGCGGTGACGCTTTTGAATCGAAACAACCCTAATGGGGCTATTCACACTAGGCGCGATCATTCACGGCGTGAAAAAGCAAAATTTTTTTTTTCATCCTGTGTGTCGATTTTTTCCCCGTCGCTCCGCGATGAAACGGGCCGTCTAATTAGATTTGAGCTTAGATCACGTGCCCGGAGCAGCTGCTGTTGCACAAAAGGGTGAGAATGGTGGCGCTGTTTCGTAAAACCATTGTAAACAAACACAAAAGAAGTAGTATTATGTGATCTGGAGAGCACAGTCCATTTTATTCCAGGCGCGCGAGAGCGTTCCCTCAAAATCTGTCAATCATCTCTTGCCCTTCCGTATATAAAAAAAAATAGAGAAACATTTTCTACACGTGAAATTTGAAAGCAAATAGACATATGATTATGAAGATATATTTTCTGTATGTTTATATGCAGCTCACGGTATTTTTATAACAATAAAGGATGTTTATGACAAGCAGGTAGCATTCAGTCTATTATAAAACACAAATAGTGCATATACCTATTATAGAATCAAAATCCATTTAGATCACAATCTGAAGTTATTACAAGCACTCAATGATGGTTTAAAGTGGGGTTTGAGAAAAAACATGAATAATTACATACGTTTTGAAATGTAGCTTGATGCTATTTGTACCTCTAATTATATTTTCAGATGTATACTTGTAAGCATTATGGTTTGTGTTTCTAATGAAGAACCAAAAGTTATTTATCTTAATTTAATGCTGTATATTGAGCAGCGAACAATGCAAAAGCCATATACGAGATAGGCTACATGAGGAAAAAATGCATTGTTGGTCTGCGCCACCTAGCGTGCAGGCGTGAATTAGCAGAAGGCGGTGTGAAAGCAACGTTCGTCTGCGATTCTCCTCACTTTTTCGCATCGTGCTCAGTGTGAAACGGCCTTTACATATGTGTGTGTGTGTACACTGCATGGTTGCTAGCAGCCGATGTGATGGGTTTGTGTCTGGTTTGTAAATAAGGGAAAGCCTATGGGCCTACACTGATCAAATTCAGGTCAACTTCCCAAATTTTGTTTAAAAACTGTCGGTAGCCCAGTGCTCATAAATTACTCGGCTTGGCTCGTAATTCCTCTCACACAATGCAAGCCATATGAGCATCAATGTTTGACATGCGATTTCTCCCAATGGAAAATAAATAGATAAATAAAATGCTTGCCAACTCGTATAACAGCAAAAATCGCAGCGTGTATGGCATAATAGCCTGTCAGACTCCATTTCAATAATATAGTTCAGAGATCATGTAAATGGTGGGCATTAAAGCATTAAAATATACTATTAGCACTAATTAGTAATGGTTTCTACAAAATCAGCCTGTGATGCAATCATTATAAAGCTTATAAAGACGTAAAAAGGTTTTTTCCTCTCCGCATGTCTGTTTCATGTTACTTTAAAAGAACCAATTAACTTTAAAATACTGCAAAAAGCATTGCTTGCACACTTTGTCTTAATGAAATCAATCATTTGATCATCTGAAACGTTTTTTTAAGCAAAACCGGAGCCAGAAAAATGTTTTGATGGTTTGGATAGCTATTTAATCATGAAGGTTACGAGTGTGCAGCCATATGAATGTCATAGCTTTTCTTCACTTGCTTTTATCTCTTCACTTATTATTCTCTTTGTTCGACTTTTTTATTCTATTCTGCATTAATTTTTTCCCCCCATTTCAACATTGCACTGACACTGAATATACTACTTTCATCTGTTTTAGGGAACGAATCTTTGCAACTCTATAGATATTTTTATAATGAATTAGCTTTCATTCATGTAACATCATTAGCTGCCTTCATTCTGAAATGTTCCAAAACATTGTCTTCTATGTTCAATAGCAGGGTGCTTCAAAGAATGAAGCACAGTAAAAGTCAATGGCATTACATCTTTCAACAAACAGGTTGTTCTTTAATCAGAAATTTGCTGGTATCCAGTGTCTCCCATTTTATCAACAGCCTTAATTAAACGTAATTAATTTACGGTCATATCTCAGCCTTGATTGCATTAAACCTATATAGAGCATGATGATGGCAGTTCTTCTCTGCATGTTTTCCCCTGTCTCTCTGTGTGAGTGCCACAGTGGTGTACAGTCAATTTATCTTCCATATTCTTTGCTTCTGGATGTAATTGGGAAGGAGAGAGAAAAGAAATTCAATAGAAATGGAGAGAGGCAGGTGTGAATATCTTACATACAAAGCTTTTCCATTTCAACAAAGACATATGGAACGTAAGACACCTGATCACCTGATCCTATTTACTCTTCTCTCTCATGACTAACTATTCTTACACTCTCAAATACCATATAGTATTACATATCGCTATAGAATTATTTAATATAATATGCCATTATATAGATTATATATGAGTTCATTCAGCCAAACATAAAAAATCAGTAATTTACGCACCCTTGTCTTGTTCCAAACCTTTCTTTAGTATATGATGACAGAATTTTTGTTTTTGAGTGAACTATCTCTTTATTAAGATAACCAAGGACAGTATATATCCTCAGAACAAACATCATGCATGTGCACACACACACACACACACACACACACACCATGAATGGGCTTTTAATCATCTGCTCAGTCAGTTCTGGATCCCAATGTGCACAATTGCTAATAAAATGTCAGTTATTAGCCACATGTGGGAAAGCACAGTATTTGAACTGTCTGTCTGAACCAAGCCAAACACAAACATCCCAATGGAGTCAGTCGCATTGCTGTTGCCATCACTGCAATTGTTTCTTATCTGACACAACATACAACAGCTCTCACCCTTTATTCCTTCTTTCTGTTTTAATCATGTATTTTAAATTACTATTCCCAGTATAGCAAGCCTTTCTTCTGTTCCATTATGCTTTGCTTTACAATTTAATTGTCATTGTCCATATTTGTTTTTCCATAGTTCAAATATACACAGTGCTAATGTTTTGAAACGCTGCCATTCTAATGGTTCAGCAAGGTACTGCTGAGGCAGACTTTTCTCTACTGAGCATCTCACATACACAGGATAATTGGCATGCCTGATTGCCTAAGGGACAAAATAACACCATCCAAATCCTTGTGAGCCATGTGAGTGTTTTTACGACGAACTGTTCTCTGCAATCCTCCAATCTTTTTATGTCATTTGACCAGTGTTTAGTCCAGTGGTTCTCAATCAGGGTGCCTCTGGAAAGTAAATTTCAAAGGAGGCCTCTATTATAATAATAATAATAATAATATAATATAATATAATAATATAGTATAATATAATATAAACAGTCATTTTAAAAATAAATAATAACATTTTATTAAAATTTTTGCTTTTATTTAAATGTTAAAAACACAAAACAAGATCTTCAACATGTAAACTGAACATATTTGTCATTCAGATCATTTGACCAGTGTTTAGTCCAGTGGTTCTCAATCAGGGTGCCTCTGGAAAGTAAATTTCAAAGGAGGCCTCTATTATAATAATAATAATAATAATATAATATAATATAATAATATAGTATAATATAATATAAACAGTCATTTTAAAAATAAATAATAACATTTTATTAAAATTTTTGCTTTTATTTAAATGTTAAAAACACAAAACAAGATCTTCAACATGTAAACTGAACATATTTCTCATTCAGATGAGAATGCACCATGCACTGAGCTTTCACACATTTTTGTCCATTGCAGCACAGAGGACTTTGTAGACCAATTTTCCCAGTACTCCAAGTTTCATTCAACACCTGCCCCCTCCTGCGGAGCGGTACACACGTTCCCTGCTTACAATTATATTAATCATGTCTTGTCCTGCTTTTTTAGGTCTTGACAACAATCCTGCATGTACTTGCATGCACTTTATTGTTTCAGTGTATTGTTTTTAATTTTACTTAAATTTTTAAATTATTTTTATATAATGTCAAAAACATATATAATAATCATTATTTAGGCTACATTTTGTTTAAAAAGACAAAACATGGATTTCATGTTTTATGTATAAATTTATGAATTGTAAAAAGGTGTCTTTGTCATGTCTGGCATTAAATAAATGTGGGCTGTTGAATATTGTCTTGGCTGTTGGACTCAGAAAGGTTGAGAACCACTGGTCTAGTCTATTGTATGTTTTCACTTGGTAAGCTAGTTTCAGATTTGCAAAAAAAAACAGTGTGAAACAAACTTCCTAACAATGGTGCTTTTGTCTGTAGATTATGCATTTATTGAATGTGAGAGTGCATTGAGAGAGAAATGATAGTTTGTGGTTGTTCTCTGTGCAGGACAATGGCCCCCAGCTGAAGGCAGTGACGGCAAGAGACTGAGATGGAGCTGACCTCAGTAGACGCCTCTGCTGTGCTGGGCTTATGGGACAACAGCTCCATTCCTGGTTTCCTTCTTAACGAGAGCATTCTCAATGACACTTGCTTCCTCAATGCTTTGAATTGCACTAATGGGACAGATGCGGGGAACCGAGCAGGAATAAGCATGGCAGGAATCCTCATCCCTCTTATTTACATCATTGTCTGCATCGTCGGCCTGGGGGGAAACTCACTGGTCATCCACATCGTCCTGCACTACTCCAAGACAGAGTCAGTGACCAACATCTACATCCTGAATCTAGCTATAGCCGATGAGCTCTTCATGCTGGGCCTTCCGTTCCTCGCCGTGCAGAACGCCATGCACTCCTGGCCCTTCGGCTCATTCACGTGCAGGTTGGTCATGACCGTTGACGGCATTAACCAGTTCACCAGCATCTTCTGCCTCACCGTGATGAGCATCGATCGCTACCTGGCCGTGGTTCATCCTATACGGTCCTCAAAATGGAGGCGACCGCAAGTGGCCAAGGCGGTGAATGGAACAATCTGGGCGGGCTCGTTTTTGGTAGTCTTGCCTGTGGTGACTAACACCCAGATTTAACCAATGATAAATTCCATCCAAACTACCCCTTTACCACCCACTTTATTATTTTATTGAACTTAAAAGGATAGTTTACCTAAAATTGACTTAAGTGTGACGTGACATGTGGCCAAGTATGGTGACCTATACTCGGAATTAGTGCTCTGCATTTATCCCATCCAAAGTGCACACACACAGCAGTGAACACACACACACCGTGAACACACACCCGGACTTGTCATTATTTATTCACTCTAATATCATTCCAAAAATGTGTGGATTTCTTTTTCTAAGAAACACAAAAGGATAATTTTAAAGAATCTTCATGTAATTTTTCTATACAGTGACAATTTTGGCAATAAAAACTATAGTGACTATAGACACGCACGCGCCTGGCCCGAAGTTAACTTCTGGTCTGTGTGTGTTTATCAGTCTGGCTATGGCGCCGGCTACAAACGCAGTTAAAGTTAAGGTGATGAGTAGACTGAAGTTGGGCTCAGGTGGTTGTGCTGTGGGATGTGTTTCCCATACATTTATTTATTTGTGGCGCTCGCCACAATATCAAAACTGACTGATTTTCCAAAAGGCTTCGTTGAATAAACATGAGCACGTAGGCCTACTGCACGTTTAAAAATCTAAACGAGGCGCGGGTGTTTTTATATCACTGTATTTCTGAAGGAAGACTATCTTTAGAAAATTTTCGACGTCATTTTTAATTTCATTTTGCATGTTATATGCCTGATAAAGCAGCGTTTGTGAGCTCAGCACTGCTTTGTGTACAGCCGTTACTGGGGAAACCTGTTTCTCCCGCTTTAAAGCACCTCCTGCTGGCAGAGAATGAATTTGCATTGTCAGTAAGTCCATCTGATTTACGCAGCAATTTCATCTTGCATGTAAATTATATGCCTGATAAAGCAGCGTTTGTGAGCTCAGCACTGCTTTGTGTACAGCAGTTACTGGGGAAACCTGTAAAACCTGAAACCTGTTTCTCCCGCTTTAAAGCACCTCCTGCTGGCAGAGATCGAATTTGCATTTTCAGCAAGTCCGTCTGATTTACGCAGCAAACATATTTTGCTTATCAAAAATAATCTACTCTAGAGGGACTACTTAGCTGCTGTTATTGATTCTATTTGGAAGTCTACCGGAAGTTAAGTTAGGGCCACAAAAGCGTGCATGCGCAGTAACGTTTATGTTATTGCCGTTGAAACCGTCTATAGTGATAAAAAAAACATCATAACAGCACCATGAAGTACAGTAGTCCGTATGACTAATCTGACTCTGAATCCATTCGACAAGTTTGTGTGAGGGACAGACCAAAATTTAAGTCGTTATTTATTGATAAATGCTCTTCCCCCAAAGTTATCGTATGACTTTTATTTGACATGGAATATAGAGCATGTCATATAGAATACTTCATGAAATTATTTTAGTGTATTTAGACATTTTTGGAACTTGAAGGTCATTATTAACTTCCGTTCCATAGAAAAGAGCCGTGTGATGATTCATCTAAAAATCTCCTTTTGTTTTCTAATGAGATATACAATAGTATGTGAGTTTGGAACAACATGAGGGTGAATAAATAATGAAAAGAAGTTTATTTAGCATAATTAAAGAGCATGGTCTTTGAGCCACTGGGTTTATCCGACACCTGCTAAAGAGGTTAAAGTGCCTCCAATTATAATGTCATTTATGCTCGAATTCCACAGACAGACAACATAAGCTACACATACGTTAAAATTCCACAGTGTCTCTTCCCAGCACCGTAATATGCTTATGTGACATTCAGATACCCTTTTCAGAGTGTTATAAATAAACATTAACTATTGAGATCATAGCAAGCACTAACATATCAACTACACTCCCCACCGCCCTACGCCACCTCCTCCTACGCACGGGCTCACACTCAGATTGGTTTGGAGGCGTATGGAAAGCCATTGCAGACGCATTATGGACAGAAAGAGAGAGCTACCACCATTTCCATAATGACTCTGTGGATTTCACAGCTTTCGTTCAGAACTAATTGTTTAAATATTAAAAAAGAATGTGTAAAAAGCTGTGCGAAAATGTTATTCTGCCGTTTACTAGGGATATTTTTAATTGTGCTATAGCTATATGACATTTATTGCACACTGTGTTTACTATCGACCCGCTCAGAGAAGCTGCCGTTTGTGGCTGTGGGCAGAGAGGCGCCCATCCTGTGACCTTATGATTGGACAGCTCTTCGTATCTAAATGAATCTCTGTGATTCACTGGACGCTTGACACCCACCGAGGCCCACCCACACACGGGATGGATCCACAAAGAGGCAAATAGTGCTGAAGGCTGCTTGTGAACGCTGTGATATTATTCATTTCTTGGGGCAGACTTATATAGGCCTCGTGTGCAAACAAAGCCATTTGCTCAAGGATAAAAATACATAGCTGCCCATGTGTCCTTAGTACTTTAGCATTTTTATAAGTGCAAAGAAAGGTTTTTTTCTCTAACACCAAATGTATATAATCTTCTGTTAGTTTCAGCTCCTTAAATTGTATAAAACATTATGAGGGGTTATTTATTTTCAATAGTGCAAATGTTTGAACCATGTAAGTACCTGAATGCAGATGTAGCTTGCTGCAAAAGCTTAATTTTCTCACACAAGTAAAGGCTGTATTCTCAGCATTGCCACAAGAGGTGCTATAGCTGGAATTATAGTGCGTTTAGGTCCTCCTGGGAAGTTATAATTATGGTTTTGTACTGATGTTCAACTTGTAAATACAATTTTTACTACAAGACTTGAACGCACCATTAGTGTAAGTTAAATGTCTCCTTTTAAGCTTAGTTTTCTCTTTTAGGTGAGCTGTTAAAGTCAGTATGTTTCTAGCAGTTTACCAAAATAATAACACATCTGGTTTAATGTCAGAGGCAAACAAATTTTGTATTCTATCGCCCTGAAAGTTTGTGGGCAAAAAAGCCTATCAGTTGTCTATTGCCAGTAGTGTAGCAACACAAGAAGCATGGCTCACACAGAAGTCACTGTCAAACCAAGAAGAGTTGTGCTAATTTGACTAATTTGAGCCTGTTGCGAAATCTGCATGAGGAAATATTTTGCGTGGATCCCCAAAAATTTGCTCTCTTGCCACCACAAGAGTATGTGTTGGCAAAGCGATTTTTTCTGCATTCACGTACTTTCATATAGCTAAACTGTTCTCTTTAAAAAGTTCTGCTAACGCTGAAGGGTGCATTTTGTGTTAGATTAAATTAGTTCTTTCATTTCAAAAAATCACTGTGTGTGTAGTCTGATATTTACCAAATTCTAGATTTATAAATAAATAAATATTTTGTCTCTGTGAATGTGCTTTTTATGCTTCTTTCATGCTATTTTTATTTATTTATTTATTATTTCTTCAAACTTGAATTAGCATTGGTCTAAAGGCCCAGATAGACTATTTAATAGGATTTTTTTCTTTCTTTTTTCATTTTTAATCATAGCTGCTGGCTATTTTGGTTGTTTGCATTTGATTGAATTTGTTAAATTAATCATAATTAAGACAGTGATCAGGAAAGAGGAGAACAAATAGAATGGCTTTGCTTACTACAAATAAATGTGCTAACAACAAAAACAACACTGCAGGCATTGAAAATGGGCACAGTTACATGGAACTTGTTCTCGAAATGACCTGCAACTAAATTTGGCTTGACATAACAGAATGCATATTTCCGAGCACCAGAGTGGAACATCATGTAGCCTTGCAATTGTCTTTTGGTTGAGCATGAGCAAGCCAGTGATTGGCCAACAATGCAAGCCAGGTTCTATTTTGAAGAAAATTCAGACCTTAAGGCTGAAATGACGATGTGAGAGGAAAGTGAGATCAATAGTGGTTCCCGTCATAGGCTTAAGGCTACAAAAGTGGCCAATCACTGCCGAAGTCTTGCTGTTTTCTTTTAAACCTAATAATAAATATGCCAAAGTGTCGCAGCACCCCAAGCAAATCTGTGACTATAGGTTGACATTAAGTCCTTGACGTCTTGACAAGCTGTTGTATGAATGTGTTAGGTGTATATGTCTTAGTGATATGGTCAGAGTGCTGGAAGCCCATTTTGGATGCCTTCCTTATTTGATACAGCCATTTAAAGATATTAGTGTGTTCTAAATGAACTCTAAATTAACTGATTAGTTGAATGTAGTGTCAGACCAAAAAATAAATAAAAAAATCACATCCAGTCTTATAGTATCTGTAAAAACATTCAGTTGCCCCTGTCCCAAGGAGACAAGCCAGTATTTTGAAATAATTTCTGTTGTCAATACTCAATTAGGGTTGTTCAGATCACATTGTTCCTAATAACATTTTTCCTAATTAATCTATCTAGGCATTTTTCAGCGGAGTAACTCATTGGCCAATTATAGTGAGGATGTTGTTGAAATGGAGAATGTGGGCTGCTTCATCAGCCAGCAGGAAAGGTCTAGTGATTTCTCTTTCAATTAAATACTCACAAACTCCCTGAATCCCTTCTCTTTCATTTTCTCTTTCGTGTAACAAGTGTTCATTACGCTGGTGTTTGGGACACAGGCATCACAGATGAAAAGAAAAGTGGGGGAAAAAGCATTGTGCAGGATTCTTGGAAACCAAGTGTACACAAACTCCATGAAGCTGTATTATGACATGAAAGATCGACAAAGACAGAAAGCGGAGGAGTCAACAGGAAAACGGCAGAGCTGGAGGTCAAGCGCTTGTACTGTAAGTACAGAGGTGTATTATGTGGATCTGAATGGGTTTAAATACAAGCTTGACGGTTGATATATGGCTGCATCTCTCGGCAGGATCAGTAATGCTACCAAAACATGACACAAATGGCCCACACTTAACATGTGCCCCTTATGTTATGTAACATTTAATATTTTTATTTGATTTGTATAATTTTATTAAATATTCAGTATATCTCTAGTTAAGGACTCCATAGACAGCATAGTGAGCTGTAGCAAGCAATCTAAAAACATTTGTGTACGACTAAATAGTACGTGCCAGTCTTCTCATCTGTGTCAC